CTGAGCACATCATTGTCACAATCTTAGACCCAACTGTCAACATCGTAAGCGATATCCTCCTTGGAAAGGAGATTCTTAAAATGACATAACCATTCCGTTTGCCGTATATTTTCCATGGGGGAAGAGAACGTATACTTTTCCAAAACAGTTTCGGGCTATTCATGGAATTATGTCGCTCGAATCTTGACGATTGGATATCATATTTGAATTTTCTGTAAGAGGCTTTATAAATGTTTTTAAGTCTACAGTAACCTTTACGATTACATTCACTGCGACATCGTCTAAACTTTCTTAGGGCTTTTCCTGGTTTCTGTCCTTGCTTGTCTACAAGCTTTATTCAATTTAGGTTTACTAGTTCCAGGATCAAAATGTTTCATTTGTCTTTTCATACTTGAAGCTGAATCAAGAAGACAATGTACAAAAGTTATGTACAAGTTTTGTTAACTAAGAAATATCTCTATGATACCTTCGATTCAACCCAGACAAATCCAAAGTCATGTTCATCACAATCTACAGTACGCTTAAAGCTAAGCTTGACTGCTTTGAAGGAAACCTGCAGAGTAACGCGAGGGGGAAATGGTCAGAGTCTAACCCATAGCCAACATTTAGCATTTCTACGAACTCGAATATACAAACAGATGCAAGAAAGTAAACGACAACACTAGAATCCCTTTCTCATACAAAGCTTAATCATTCCTGATTGTGAAAAATAACATCCCATTCGGTCGCCAGAACTGCCCCACATTTTCACCATTTTTGGCGTCTGGCTTCTAGGCCATTCATTTCCGATCAGACGCACAACCACTAACAATCGAAGGTCATAATCATAATCTTTCTATAGAAACCCATCAAAATTTATCAGTTAACTCTATTTACTTATACAAAACAATATTTAAATGAGAACGCATTCGAAAAAACCCGATCCTTCATAGATCATCATTTGAAATATTTATCCCTTGTAACGGAAAAATCAGTACGGTCAAGAAAGACATGTGATCAGGGGATCTTCACAAGTAAGGACATGGAAGATGCTCACATTTAGTACATTTTCATGAGGCTATCTGCAATGGCAAATACGACATCGTTATAAAATGACCTCTTAAGAACTGGACTGACAGCTCAAGTAGGTGAAGCCGACTAATATTTTTTATTGCATTTAATTTGTTACCACCCACATTCCCTTTGCATTAAACCCGGGATGTAATTCTTATGATACCCTTTTGAACACTGTAAGGCATTAAAGGTGGTGTCACAGGTGGTGTCACGGTGGTGTTGCTTTAGCTACAGCCTATGATGTTGCATTGGCCATAAGCACACTCCTTCTAGAATTCAGTCATATCATTTAAAAGTGGATGTGTCCATCACGTGGTATTAAGAGCCTGGAGGCAATAAAGAGTGTCAGAAAATATTAGACAGTGGTAGTGTTTATGTTTACATCGATATATTTCAAAGCTTCAGTGGTAAAATGGAACAGTTAGTCCGTAATCTGCATGACAGGGTCTTGGATCCAATGACAGTCACCCTGGCAACAAGGCCACCATCCCAGGACCAATCGGTAAATATAGACTTTAAAGTGTTATAAATGGTTATAGTCTTGATATTGTAGTTGATATGTGTCCGATTTTTAAATGTATATAAGGTAAGGTACACCTGTGACCTGACCAGCTGCCAATGGGGTCAAGAAAACAGGCAGAAAGTAGCCGACTTTATTGTAATCGTGGTTTACTGCTGACAGGCAACAAATCACCTGTATTTGAGACAACATGAAAGTCAGTGTAATCAACACGTACGCCTAGTACAACGTATAGGATTACAGGTGGCTTGTTGTGAACCTTGAGGTAGTACAACACAGCACTCATGCTATCCATACATAGTTACTACTACTTGTACCAATAAACAGCACAACAACCTTGAGTGTTGTAGACCTTTAACTTGACAACTTCATCTACATATTAGAGACAGGTGAGGACAATAAAACGGCTTATGCCCACCTGCAAGTGTCTATGTTTCAAGGCGGTAACATATCTCTGAATTATATATGTGAAACAATCAGTACTTACAGCAGCTCAAGGCACGGCTTTCAGCGTGTGTATGGTGAGTTCGTGTCGCATGTGTAAAAGATGGATTACCTTTCACTTTCCCTTCATTATATTGCAGGAATGTGCATGTCATTGGTGAACAGGAGCACATATTAAACAGTTTTAGAATACTGAAAGTAACAAAACACACAGGCATCATATGCAAATACCCCCAAGCTTGGAATTCCTTCTGTATAATACACACAAGGCTGACACCTGTATGTCCAATCATTTGATATAAAATGGAAGTAACTGCACACGGACGTTTCCCATTTACATTCTCTAAATGTTTTCATAACCATATGTCATGTATTTGCCATGCATCTTAGTACATACAATAATAGCCTGGGGTCAGTACCGTCAAATTAATAGGTCACCTGGAAAGTCCGTACATTCACAATCACATGTTGTATGGACCACGATAAGCTGATCAAGTAATTGCAAGTTGAGATAATATTATGACAGATGTTAAACAAAGTGGATGACACCGCAGTCAATATTCTACTGGAAATATGACATGAAATAGAAAACTGCGGTCTTTGGTGCTGAAACGTATGTACGTTTGAGGCCTTTCAGTAACAGATAACATTTCATTCTAAAAATAATGCACAATAATCTAAACGCAGATGATGCCTTGAGATATTCCATGTCTTAGTGTTAGATGACTGAAACACGGTACATGGCGTGGAACGCTTGTAAGATATCAACATGATTCTCTCTGACGTTCCCGTTCTCCCGATTGCTTATTATACCCATGTAAACACACTGCTCTTGTACTTCAGGCTGATTGTGTTCGATTCCCCACATGGGTAAATTGTGCGAAGCCCATTTCCGGTGTCCCCCGCCGTGACTGCAGCGGCGTAAAAACTAAACTCACTCAATCGGGTGAGTTACTTTGACGGATTTTCTCACTGGTCTGGGTGTACCATGCCCACGACGCTGGCATTCTGCTTCCGATGTTTGTGTTTTCAATTGTCATGGCAACCTGTCATCAACTCACATGCACAGCTTTGGTGGGGATCTAAGATTTGTGACATGAAGTTTCTTAATTAAATTCGTACGTTATATAACGTAGAGGTTTCTCATGTTTAAAATGATTGTTTACCCGTGTGAATATAACAAGCATCAGAAGGTGTTTTGTTTCGATAGTTCAGCAGAAACGAACCATCTCATCAAAGCATTACACCATGTATCGAAGACACAATGAATATATTCATATATACCTCCAAAACCATTCTTTATGCATCTGCATTTCTAACGACCTAACTAAGTTAGGAAGATACAGTTTGTGTCTTATATCTTCAACACTACTTTAGTTCAGTCCAGGTGTTACCCGTGACTATCCGAGTTAGAACTGGTCTTCAGCAACCCATGCTTGTCATAAGAGGTAACAGGATCGGGTGGTCAGGCACATGTCACCCTCTCCTAACTGCGTAGATGCTGGTGATGATGATCACTGGATAGTCCAGTCCAGACTTGATTATTTACAGGCCGCCGACATAAAGATGGAATATTGCTGAATACGGCGTTTAAAGCCCCAACAAAATAAACAACAACACAAAACAAAAACAAACCCCAATAACAAACGATCATTTCAGATGTTTCTGGTGGGAGGTGATAGATGGGATCGGATGGTCATACTCACTTGCAATAACAACTATTTACTGATACATGTTTGGGTATTCAATTTGATCTTTTAAATATAGTTGAAAGTAACTTCATAATGTCGGGTTATCTCGTTGTATGGAAGTCTCCAATGTTTCCCATCCGCATCCTGGCTGTAAAACTATGTGAAATACAACTTATAGATCAGTTTAAGCAGTCATGGAATGCTGCCCTTCATAATTCATCAAAAGGTAAATATTACTCGTTATACTCGTTATACCCTTATTTAATCCTCCTCCCATTGAAACAACGTGCCTGGTTGACAAAACTGCGAACATGTAATCACAGATTACGGGTTGAAACCGACAGATGGTATAACATAGACATAAATAGAAAACAGAATATGTACAATTTGTAACCACCATGTTATATGTGACGAATTTCATATTATCTTATCATGCCCAGCTCTAGATGATGTAAGAAAAAGTATACTCCCCAGTTAATTTTGTAATAGCCCTCATATTGATAAATATATTTTTCTTATGAAATCTGACTATCATCCTTTGGTACTGTACAGAAAATTGTATTATCCTTGTTTTAGTTATACATTTATATTATATTCATATGTATATAAGCCATAATGGCACTTTGTATTTATCAAAATATATGTATGTTCTCTATATCACATTGTATGAGATTTATGAGAAAAAACACTCATATACTCACAAAAAATGCACTTCGTGAAGTATTCATAAGCTGGACATAACCCTCATTCTACATGTACAACATTCGATAAATTCTCGCCGACTCACTCTCTGGATACAGTGATGGAAACAAACAAACAGCTAAATATTTACGCAATTCACGCACAAGAATAGTTGTATTTTTTCAGGAAAAGCAATATTTACATTCATCTGTCATGTTGAAGCAAAGAGTTTCAGACTTTAGAATAAGATCCTATTCAGCGCTGAAAACATATGAGAACCTGTTTAGTTACTGAAACTATGAATCTCGCGTCATCTGGTATTCTTTTATTCTATGTACTGCCAGGATAGTTTTGTGATAAGGCACAATCAATACACCATACACGTATAAATACATTATTGTTCTATTTTGTAGCAAACACACTCCATTTGTTCCGGGTTGATGTTTTTGACAATGTGCGTTAACAATATGTTTTATTTATTGAGGTACTTTCCATCGTATTTATCGTTTTCAGTGTACCTGTGGACTTCATCCTTCTGTTAATGGCCGTGGGAACACCTGTAACACACGGTAAATTCCTACCACAACACACACTCCCCGGAGCTATGATAATGTCTACATTGTATGGGCTACTAATATAACACCAATAGAGACAGATGCTTATCAACCGCAATATAAACGGTGGTCCCAGGCCACCGGAGTCAGATCCAGCTGTGCCGCCAGGTAAGTACAGTCTTGTGTATAGAGAACAAATCAGATAACTTTATTTGGGTATTTCGCCATATGAATAGTCTTGACAGCTATCCAAATAGTTTATGAATTTTAGAACTGTAGAGAAATTCGTCACACTGAATAGATCACATGTAAGTTGTTGCCTTCGAAAAACCAACAAATGATTTTAATGAGGATAGTTGACTATTTCACTCACACTATCTGTAAAAATACCTGCGTCCAAGTTTGTATGGCTTGTGTTGAACTATAATGATATGTTAACCAACATGTGTATAGTTTTTATAGTTCAGAAAATTGTCGGTTGTATGATAACTGTCGATTTCAAATAGGTACATGCCTATGGCCAGATATTCAAAATCTTAAGTATAGTTTTCTAGCTTCTTTCGGTGTGTTTGGTCTTTTTGGGCAATACCGTCACATTTCCACCTTTATTGAATCAACACAAGTTCCTACGTGTATGAACCATTCGTTTTAACCAGAATTATGACAAAAGCCCAAAATGATTTGAACATTCAAGTTATATTTTCAGGATGCTAACATTCAGCCTGGTGATTGTTATTTTCCTCTGTGTGACGTCACATAGCTATGGCAACCTACTTGTCAACAGCGATCTGGAACAGGGTGACTTCAGCAATACTAACAGTGGCTGGTTTGGGAGAAGCTGCACAACATCACTCAGCTCGGTCAGCTACACGGGGAGCAGCAGCGCGAGAGTTTCCAACAGGTCGTACATAATGTTCTGCTTGAGAGACATTTAGACATACCCCGTTAAAATGAAAGCATACATATTTACCATAACCTATTTGCATTTAAATATCCAAATGTGACATGTAACAAGGTATATTTGATAATATATCATCACTACTGTCGTATTTCAAAGCATAATCACCACAGCCAGAGAATAGAAAGTTGTAATCAGATGCTTTAGTTCATGCTTGTCGAAACCTTCATTATACTGTCAAAGCGTGGATATGCGTCGACTGAGGAATTAGCTCGGATTTAAGACGAATTACATGTTGATGAAGACGAAGGAATACTTTGAGCTCAAACTTGTTTAGTTACATGACAAACAAATACACAAGACATAAAGGAGGTGAGCGGAGTACCAGTTCAACCCCAGGGCGTTTCCTACGAGCGGCATTATCCTGCTCGTGGTCGTCCGAACACAGACAGTCGGAATCCCGGACTCTTTCCCTTTGACAATGTATACGTGAGCACATATGTACAGTTCTTGACAGCAATAGACAGGTGACGACTCAACAATGAACAGATAGAAAAACAATAGCACTTCCTTGACCAGTTGATGTGATTGCAGACACGGCCAAGGGGGATGACCCGTTAGGTTATAAATGTCATATACAGTAATTAATTGCCTGTTAGTCAATGTACAATGCGTTAGTGATAAGGATTACATAGAATACAGATTAGCGTCATATAAATAATTACAATAAAATCTCACATGTCTTGAGTACATAGTTTTTTACTTTTTAAATACTTGGACGATGGCTGTCCTGAATTAGTCCCTATAACAACTCTTTATATTGTCACAGAACTAAAGCTTTACCGTGTGTCTATTTAGCCGTCCCCGGTATACGTACAATCTGAACTAAGAAGAGCAATGATACCAGATACTTACGAAAAATGCGACTCTGCTTCGGTTCAGTCCCCTGAACGTTTCTCTTCCGATTCCACAAAGACTCATTTTGATACCCAGATCCGTTACACATTCAATACCCTTAAGCAGCTACGTAGTCTCGATCTGATTCAATTGCAACCAAGAATTCAAGGAGCCTCCTGTATCTATGGGGACAGTTTAAGTAGAGACGTCTTGTCAATGGATTCAAGGTAGTGGAATACATAAACAATATATTCTCCCTCGTTGACAAAACATGTTTTGTATACATTCGGATGTACTTTCAGACAAGCAAGATGGGCAGGACTCGCCCAGTACGTCAGTGTAGAGGAACAGAAACGGTACTTCTTCAGTGGCTACATCCAGCTTCTCAACACAGCTGCAGGGAAGATGACGGGGGAGGTTTCAGTGACGCTTAATTACCGTAATACTATCACAGGTATGACGACCCCCCATCTGCCCTTCTAACCTCTACCACGGTGTAGCTATTGATGCCTCGAATTATCGCAATACTATCACAGGTATTACGACCACCTATCTAACCTTCTAACCTCTACCACGGTGTGCTTATTGATGCCTCGAATTATCGCAATACTATCACAGGGTATGACGACCCCCCATCTACCCTTTTAACCTCTACCACGGTGTAGCTATTGATGCCTCGAATTATCGCAATACTATCACAGGTATGACGACCCTCCATCTACCCTTCTAACCTCTACCACGGTGTGCTTATTGATGCCTCGAATTATCGCAATACTATCACAGGTATGACGACCCTCCATCTACCCTTCTAACCTCTACCACGGTGTAGCTATTGATGCCTCGAATTATCGCAATACTATCACAGGTATGACGACCCTCCATCTACCCTTCTAACCTCTACCACGGTGTGCTTATTGATGCCTCGAATTATCGCAATACTATCACAGGTATGACGACCCCCCATCTACCCTTCTAACCTCTACCACGGTGTAGCTATTGATGCCTCGAATTACCGCAATACTATCACAGGTATGACGACCCCCCATCTACCCTTCTAACCTCTACCACGGTGTGCTTATTGATGCCTCGAATTATCGCAATACTATCACAGGTATGACGACCTCCATCTACCCTTCTAACCTCTACCACGGTGTAGCTATTGATGCCTCGAATTATCGCAATACTATCACAGGTATTACGACCCATCATCTACCCTTCTAACCTCTACCACGGTGTAGCTATTGATGCCTCGAATTACCGCAATACTATCACAGGTATGACGACCCTCCATCTACCCTTCTAACCTCTACCACGGTGTAGCTATTGATGCCTCGAATTATCGCAATACTATCACAGGTATGACGACCCTCCATCTACCCTTCTAACCTCTACCACGGTGTAGCTATTGATGCCTCGAATTATCGCAATACTATCACAGGTATGACGACCCTCCATCTACCCTTCTAACCTCTACCACGGTGTAGCTATTGATGCCTCGAATTATCGCAATACTATCACAGGTATGACGACCCTCCATCTACCCTTCTAACCTCTACCACGGTGTAGCTATTGATGCCTCGAATTATCGCAATACTATCACAGGTATGACGACCCTCCATCTACCCTTCTAACCTCTACCACGGTGTATGCGACCTCCATTGGTGTAGCTATTGATGCCTCGAATTACCGTAATACTATCACAGGTATGACGACCCTCCATCTACCCTTCTAACCTCTACCACGGTGTAGCTATTGATGCCTCGAATTACCGTAATACTATCACAGGTATGACGACCCTCCATCTACCCTTCTAACCTCTACCACGGTGTAGCTATTGATGCCTCGAATTATCGCAATACTATCACAGGTATGACGACCCTCCATCTACCCTTCTAACCTCTACCACGGTGTAGCTATTGATGCCTCGAATTATCGTAATACTATCACAGGTATGACGACCCTCCATCTACCCTTCTAACCTCTACCACGGTGTAGCTATTGATGCCTCGAATTACCGTAATACTATCACAGGTATGACGACCCTCCATCTACCCTTCTAACCTCTACCACGGTGTAGCTATTGATGCCTCGAATTATCGCAATACTATCACAGGTATGACGACCCTCCATCTACCCTTCTAACCTCTACCACGGTGTAGCTATTGATGCCTCGAATTACCGCAATACTATCACAGGTATGACGACCCTCCATCTACCCTTCTAACCTCTACCACGGTGTAGCTATTGATGCCTCGAATTATCGCAATACTATCACAGGTATGACGACCCTCCATCTACCCTTTCTAACCTCTACCACGGTGTAGCTATTGATGCCTCGAATTATCGCGTAATACTATCACAGGTATGACGACCCTCCATCTACCCTTCTAACCTCTACCACGGTGTAGCTATTGATGCCTCGAATTATCGCAATACGAATTACCGTAATACTATCACAGGTATGACGACCACTCCATCTACCCTTCTAACCTCTACCACGGTGTAGCTATTGATGCCTCGAATTATCGCAATACTATCACAGGTATGACGACCCTCCATCTACCCTTCTAACCTCTACCACGGTGTAGCTTGATTGATGCCTCGAATTACGACGCAATACTATCACAGGTATTACGACCACCATCTACCCTTCTAACCTCTACCACGGTGTGCTTATTGATGCCTCGAATTATCGCAATACTATCACAGGTATGACGACCCTCCATCTACCCTTCTAACCTCTACCACGGTGTAGCTATTGATGCCTCTCGAATTATCGCAATACTATCACAGGTATGACGACCACTCCATCTACCCTTCTAACCTCTACCACGGTGTGCTTATTGATGCCTCGAATTATCGCAATACTATCACAGGTATGACGACCCAGGTATGACGATCTCTACCCTTCTAACCTCTACCACGGTGTAGCTATTGATGCCTCGAATTATCGCAATACTATCACGGGTATGACGACCCCTCCATCTACCCTTCTAACCTCTACCACGGTGTAGCTATTGATGCCTCGAATTATCGCAATACTATCACAGGTATGACGACCCCCATCTACCCTTCTAACCTCTACCACGGTGTAGCTATTGATGCCTCAAATTATCGCAATACTATCACAGGTATGATTACCCCCCATCTACCCTTCTAACCTCTACCACGGTGTAGCTATTGATGCCTCAAATTATCGCAATACTATCACAGGTATGATTACCCCCCATCTACCCTTCTAACCTCTACCAGGGTCTTTGAAACAGAAATTGACAGTGGGGTTATGTTTGTTAATGTAGTATCCTTCAAACTCCGATTGAATCGTAGCTACTGATTCGATGGTGTCGTAGTAGCGAGTGATATATAATGTAACAGATAGGTCACGTTGGATAGTCAGCGAGGTCGATCGTGTCACTGCATTCGTGTGTTTTTGCCCACAGGTGCCAAGAAGTATTTGCATATGTCTACTGTGAGGTTCTTGCAGCCAAACATGTGGCAGAGGATTGGCGGAGACATCACCATCCTCCCAGGTACAGTTTAAAACAGAATTCACATTTCTTAAATCGCATTGCGATATCCCTTTGCGATTCATCAGTGAGCGATATTACTACCTTGTAAGATATGTTGCTGAGGACACACTGTGTAGTGTTTCGGTTCTAAACCCCTTCGTTAGGCTCACACGGAGTTATGTTATTTAATATACAACTGTCTACTCATTCACCGTTTCAGGCTACGACAAGTATATTCTGTACATCCAGGTGTCCTCCCCCGAGGTTGACTACCTGCTGGACACAACATCACTTACTGAGATCCCGTCCTTGCCCATAAACTTTGAGGCTGTCGCCAACGCCAGCATTGACGCCAGTCGTAAAGCTGACATCAACATCGTGTATGTAGAGCACAGGAACACCTAATAATCAGAGATCCCACAAAGGCAAAGCTCTCTATGTAAAATGCAAACATGTATATACACATGGAAAATATATTGCAACACCCCATATTTTTATTTGTATTGCTATGTTACTATTAATCATAGCACATTAACCCATGCAAAACTCAATTTAACTTACCGTCAGAATAATCTGTCCCTAATTAAGCAGCAAATGTAAACGCAAGAAGAGCGAAAAAATGTACTTTATTCATTGAAGCACATGAAGGAAGTACAGTCTACTGAAACTCCTTATGAGCTGAATGACGGGTACACGTATTGTATGTGATGCTCGCCTTTGTTCGCAGCACGGCCATATCTAAAATCAGTGTGTGGTGGGCTCGAAGGGTCAAAATAGTCATACAAGCAATTTAATTAGAGTATGAATATAAAGGGCTATACGGGGGTTAAAACCATAGTTGTTGCGATACCTTATCCCAGATGTATACATAGGACCCGTAAGTGGGTCACGGCACTTTGCGAAACCTTAGTACTTCCGGTGACAAACTCCGTTTCATATCTTTTCGAATGGTTTCATGGTTGTCAGTTGAAAGTACTGAACCGATAACCCTTGCAGGAAGAACAAATTTCCGACCTAACCATTCACAAACTACTGTCAACAGCTGTGATAGTCAAGCATGCTTGTACACTTGGTCCGGTCTAGTAAAGTGATACTAAGGGAACGGGAGCGGGAACCAGTTTAGTACCGGAAGTTGCGCCTCGCGAGGCTTACAGGCCCTGTATGTTTGTTATGTCATTACTAGTTACACCTGTTTTCTTGCGGCAGATGTATGTTTAGTGTTTGTCAACACCTTTATGTCTTTATTCAGTGCTACATCCGGCAGAGTGGAAGGTGTCACCGTGGAGGTAGGTCACATGAATCTCAAACATCCTCAACAGCTGAAATATCCCTCGTATGTTACAGAGAACAGTTTCCTCGTAGCAGTGAATCTTAAATTACAGAATTAAAGACGGCAATTGTACAGGTTTTGCAGCAAAGGGAAGTGACAGCAAATGTAAACAGGTGGCAGAACGTCAAATAATGTCCACATTATGTGAACCATTTCGTGACCACACTTTAAATTACATATTGTTGCTTTAGATACAACAGCTTACGAGTGAGTTTGGTTTCGGCACCGCGGTAAGTGCTGAGAGAATAGTGGACAGCAGCTACGCAGCCTATCAGGACTTCTTCTATGACAACTTTGAGTGGGCAACTATTGAGAACAAGCTGAAGTGGTCGCAGACAGAGAAAAATAAGGTAATAATATACAGGTTCGAGCAACATCCGACCTAACACAAACATTCTCTGAATAGAGCTTACTGAATCATCACATGGAGGAATATGTATCTTATAATCTACTCCGTCAGTTAGAGGCTGTAGCGACCTGTTTTAATTAATGAAGGTTAACTGTCGTGATTTCATTCAACGATTGAATTTTGTTCACATATACAAAACAACTAGGCGTACATATAGGAAGTTAGTAGGATTGGATATTATATGAGTACATTTGTAACTGTTCTGGTTACCTATTGCTGAGAGCTAAACTCAACATTTGACACTGGGTCTGTGTATTCCAGGATGTTTTAACCTACGACGATGGGGTGACCGCTGTGAACGAGCTTGTTGAAAGAGGGTGAGTTCCATAACTCTCTAACAAAACATTACTGCTGTGAACGAGTTTGTTGACAGAGGGTGAGTTCCATAACTCTCTAACAAAACAATACGGCTGTGAACGAGCTTGTTGAAAGAGGGTGAGTTCCATAACTCTCTAACAAAACATTACTGCTGAGAACGAGCTTGTTGAAAGAGGGTGAGTTCCATAACTCTCTAACAAAACATTACTGCTGTGAACGAGCTTGTTGAAAGAGGGTGAGTTCCATAACTCTCTAATAAAACATTACTGCTGTGAACGAGCTTGTTGAAAGAGGGTGAGTTCCATAACTCTCTAACAAAACATTACTGCTGTGAACGAGCTTGTTGAAAGAGGGTGAGTTCCATAACTCTCTAACAAAACATTACTGCTGTGAACGAGCTTGTTGAAAGAGGGCGATTTCCATAACAATCTAACAACAAATTACGGACAGACAGACATACAGATTGTATATAATAGTCCTACCAAGTTACAATCATTTTGATAAATAACGTACATACCTAATATATACATATTAAAAACTATTACATAACCTAAGACAATATAAGCGTAAAAGTAACGAGCCACCCTGTACAGAGTTATGAGAGACTTTAAAATTATAACAATATACAACATTATAATTACGGCTGAGAAACGGAGGCTTGAACACCAGCATACGGTACAGAGTGCTGACCCCCCGTCCCCAGATGATGTTTACGTGAACTGAGGACAACGTCGCCTGATTCCAGTATACACGTACTTCCCCTTACTCCCAGTCTGTGTGCCCTGATGGCAGGCATTACTCTTTTCAACTTAACATGGGCAGAACAGAATTGAACACTGATAGAATAGTACTGAACATTGACAAAATAGTACTGGACAGAACTGAACATTGACAGAATAGTACTGGACATTGATAGAATAGTACTGAACATCGACAGAATAGTACTGAACATTGACAAAATAGTACTGAACATTGACAGAATAGTACTGAACATTGACAGAACAGTATTGAACATCGACAGAATAGTACTGAACATCGACAGAATAGCACTCAGCATTGACAGAATAGTACTGAACATTGACAGAATAGTACTGAACATCGACAGAATAGTACTGGGCAGAACTGAACATTGACAGAATAGTACTGGACAGTACTGAACATTGACAAAATAGTACTGAACAATGACAGAATAGTACTGAACATCGACAGAACAGTATTGAACATTGACAGAAACATCGACAGAATAGTACTGAACATCGACAGAATAGTACTGGACAGAACTGAACATTGACAGAATAGTACTGAACATCGACAGATTAGTACTGAACATTGACAGAATAGTTCTGAACATTGACAGAATAGTGCTCAACATTGACAGAATAGTACTGAACATTGACAGAATAGTACTGAACATCGACAGAATAGTACTGAACATCGACAGAATAGTACTGAACATCGACAGAATAGTACTGAACATTGACAGAATAGTACTGAACATTGACAGAATAGTACTGAACATTGACAGAATAGTACTGAACATCGACAGAATAGTACTGAACATTGACAGAATAGTACTGAACATTGACAGAACAGTATTGAACATCGACAGAATAGTACTGAACATCGACAGAATAGCACTCAGCATTGACAGAATAGTACTGAACATTGACAGAATAGTACTGAACATCGACAGAATAGTACTGGGCAGAACTGAACATTGACAGAATAGTACTGGACAGTACTGAACATTGACAAAATAGTACTGAACAATGACAGAATAGTACTGAACATCGACAGAACAGTACTGAACATCGACAGAATAGTACTGAACATCGACAGAATAGTACTGGACAGAACTGAACATTGACAGAATAGTACTGAACATCGACAGATTAGTACTGAACATCGACAGAATAGTTCTGAACATTGACAGAATAGTGCTCAACATTGACAGAATAGTGCTCAACATTGACAGAATAGTACTGAACATCGACAGAATAGTACTGGACAGAACTGAACATAGACAGAACAGTACTGAACATCGACAGAAAAGTACTGAACATCGACAAAATAGTACTGAACATTGACAGAATAGTACTGAACATTGACAGAATAGTACTGAACATCGACAGAATAGTACTGAACATTGACAGAATAGTACAAAACATTGACATATAAGTACTGAACATTGACAGAATAGTACTGAACATCGACAGAAAAGTACTCAACATCGACAGAATAGTACTCAACATCGACAAAATAGTACTCAACATCGACAGAATAGTACTGAAAATATAGACAGAATAGTACTGTACATTGACAGAATGGTACTGAACATTGAGCGAATAGTACTGAACATCGACAGAATAGTACTGTACATTGACAGAATGGTACTAAACATTTAGAGAATAGTACTGAACATCGACAGAATAGTACTGAACATTGATAAATGTAGCTGGAGAACATCCACAGGAAATATCCGAAATGTATCATTAAAATCTTTGTAACGTCCTTGAATTAGTAATCTTTGAAAATTGACACAGAATATATACTGAGCATCATTGAAAACGCACCACCTGTAAATTTTGAAATATGGTAATAGGATTGTTTTGAGAGTGAAAATGAACGTTCGAAATGTTGTTAATAACACAAAAGACAATAAATAATGCTGTACAGCAAAGAACGGATTGCCCGAACACATCATGGAACACATCACATGACAACAACAAAATTCATGCACAACACACACGAAAAGCACAAATGGCATGCGTAAAACATGCTGATTAGGGGTATAAATGACCGTCGGCGAAAAAACCGTTCTCATTTTATCTGTACCTTCGCAAGTAAAGTTTATTTTGCGATGCCAAGATTGTCTCCAGAGGAACGAGAACGGGCGTTAGGCATGTTGCAGGTTGGCACATCAAGCAGGATTATTGCCAGACGATTTGGTTGCCATCATTCCACCATCATAAGACTTGCCAACAGGTACCAACAAACAGGAACTACCAGGGACCGCCAACGTCCTGGCCAGGCACGTGTTACCACCCTCGCCAAGTTCGAGACATTATTCGGCGCCATATTCGGGATTGTACGTTGCCGGCTGCCAGAACCGCCAACACTGTCCAAGGCCGACGTGGTTTGATCAGTGGTTCCACCGTCCGACGCCGTCTCCTTGCGGCAGGATTATGGTGTTGACGCCCTTATGCTGGACCCATCCTGGCTGATAGACATCGCCGCGAACGCCGACGATGGGCTGAACAGCATCGTTTGTGGTTGTTCCGACCTTGGCATGGTGTTGTGATCTCCGACGAGTCACGTTTTCACTTGCGAAATGCTGACGGGCGTCTACGGGTATGGCGTCGACGGGGAGAACGTTACCATCAGGACTGTGTTGTGCAAACAGATCGATGGGGTGGAGGCAGCATTATGGTGTGGGGATGGATCAGTTATCATCACAAAACCGCTCTGGTAGTTTGTCGTGGCAGAGTGAATGCCCTTTACTACCGTAAACAACAACATCCCTCTACTTCCATGGCCTGCATTGTCACCAGATTTGTCTCCCATTGAACACTTGTAGGATTACATCGGCCAACGCCTCTCACGTCGCCCACAGATCAACAACCTTTGGGAACTTGAGAATGCCTTGCAACAAGAGTGGAATGCATTGCCTCAAAACATTATTCAGAGACTTATCAGTTTAATGAGGAGACGTTGCACAGCTTGTGTTGCTGCTAACGTTGGTCATACACGTTACTGACTTTCCCATTTGACTCCATCTTTCTTTCATGGTCAGCTGAATTAAAAATTCACTGTTTTGATGGATTGGTTCTTGTTTCTTTTCTTTACCAATCATTGGACTACAAAAGTATGTAAAATTTACACCGATTGCTCATTTATGCTCTTGGAAATCCAAACTAATACAGGTGGTGCGTTTTCAATGATGTTCAGTATATTAAACAACTGAAAATACGATTATTGCTCACCATGTGGCACTACAGGTTCCCAATCAAGGACTAAACAGTGAATCCTTGTTGTGGTCTGTTTCTGATTTGCACAGTATTTTTGTTTGCAGGACAAAGATGAAATGTTTTAAGCATAACCAATTGCAGAGCAGACTTCCAGCTCCTGTCCTTTAAATAACGTTTTGAAAAATGTTGCATTTTAATACACTATAAACCAACCCACTTAATCAAAGGGGAGTTTGGCTTCAAGATTATGATTAGAACTATGTTTGATGTGCATATTTATCCTGACACCAGGGTAAAGGTGAGAGGCCACACAGTTTTCTGGGGTGTGCCAGACAAGGATCCAGTCTGGGTTCAATCTTTACAAGGTGATGCTCTGATACAAGCCATGATGATGCGAGGGAAGAATGTGACGTCGAGGACCCTCGGGAAGTAAGTACATGCATTATGTGTAAGAGACATCGTCTTCGTCGTCACAACAAATCAATGTCCAACAAACTGACATACCATTCATATCTGCTGCTTCATATTTCACTGATGTTATTGAACGAAAATGATACATCGTAAGGGTGTCATCGTTTCAGGCTTGAACACTGGGACGTAAACAACGAAAACGTCCATGGCAACTTCTACGAGGAGGCTACAGGGCACGTCAACATCACAATGGATATATTCTCTGAAGTCCGTTCTATGGATCCCAAGCCTAAACTCTTCCTCAACGACTTTGCGATAGTCAACTCAGGACGGTTTACCCAGGTATGCTGGTGACAATGCCGGAAGTGTCACGTCCTAAGAACTCTATATTCGGGTCGACTGATAGCTGGCTCATGATTACTGCTCTAGCCCAGTCCAATTCAAACAAATGTAGCAGGAAATAGTCTACAGTGAATAGTGAGTGAGTGAGTTTAGTTTTATGCCGCACAATCTTCCAGCTATATAAATAGCCTGACACTGCACCCGTATATGGGTCTCAACTGGTGCCGCAAATGTACAATTGTCAAATGATAGAGTGAGTTTAGTTTTACGCCGCATTCAGCTATAGTCCAGCTATATGGCGGTGTGAAATAATAGAACATTTTGAGCTGGAGGTTGAGGCATGTTACACCTTTTCTGCACACGTTTACATTTAACTTCGGAAAATTGAGAAACAAATGTACAATTTTGTGTGGAATTAATCAACCCTTGCTATTGATAACAATTGTCTTGATATTATATCGTGTCAGGCATATCGAAATCAAGCCAAGATGTTCCGGGCTGAAACACCTATATATGGTGTTGGGATCCAAAGTCATCTGACGCCTCCGCTTGATCTGACACTAATCAAGGTGAGACAGTGTAAACAATTCATTTGACGTCTAGTCACTTTGATTAAACTGGTTGGGGTACCAGATGGATCTTATTGTCAACAATGTTACTGTGTCTGTGAATATCAACAATTTTCAACATGACTACGCCACCGATGTGATTGTCACACAGTTCTAAAATAAATGATTGTATGAACCACCACTGGCGACGACATCAGTACCTGGGTGTACCCACCCTTGGCACGGGTAACATCTTCCATTCTGCTCCCCATACTGGCAATCAAGTATCAATCGAATTACCAGCATCCTCAGCCATTCCTCACGGAGTGCCTGCTTTAGTCACTGCAAATGTTTAGGAAGTTCACCAGCTCGAACTTGGCCCAAAGGGTTCAATTCGGGGCTATGAAAAAGGGTGAATGAGTGAGTTTTGTTTTACGCCGCACTCAGCAATATTCCAGCTATGTGGCGGCGGTCTGTATATAATCGAGTCTGGACCAGACAACCCAGTGATCAACAGCATGAGCATCGATCTACGCAATTGGGATACGATGACATGTGTCAACCAAGTCAGCGAGCCTGCCCATCCGATCCCGTTTGTCGCCTCTTACGACAAGCATGGGTTACTGAAGACCAATTCTAACCCGGATCTTCACGGGCCCTATGATAGTACCAGTACTTCCTGTTGATAACTTTGGCCATTGAGTGTTGAGGTACTGTTATGATATCAAACTTCATACGAAACGCAGCCCCACACCGTCACTGATCCACCACCAGTGAGGTGCCTCACTACTATGTTTCCATACGCGACAACGTGCAGAAGATAGCGACTTTCATCAGACCAATGAACCCAACGTCGTATCCTCCAGTTGTAGTTTGACTCAGTCTGCACGACGATGCCAGACGTTCCCGCAGCAGGCAGTGCCGTCCTCAGACTGGTGGAGAGTCTCAAGTGCCGGCGCAGTTTTTCGACATGGATAATAGAACTCCCCATTGCCAGGCGAATTATGTGTCGGTCATCAGGTCATTGGTCTTCTTCGGTCTTCCAGATCATGGACGATCCTCTACTTTACCGGTGGCCACGTGCGACTAATAACCGTGTGGATAATGTTCACGTTAGCACCGTTAGCAACAGGACATATTGGCCTCATGCCAGTAATATGCAGTTTCTGAAAGTGTACGGCGTACTATGTAAAGAAAGTTCATTTTAGTACAGCCGTCGTTTAAATCAGTAAAGACGACTGTATTGCACATACTACAATTTTGAATTGTATACCCCAATATGCTTAGCGCCTTTGCAGCACATGAACATGCGACTAATAACTTTTGAGATTGCTTGTGAGGGTATAATCGCATGTGTGCACCAAAATCCGAAAAATACTCTTATATTCAAGTGGTGCTTAATTAATTGTCATGTGTATACTTTGGAATCCAGCACCGCCTGGACCAGATTGTGGAGGTAGGGCTGCCCATATGGATCACCGAGATGGACATTGACGAGCCTGATCAGTACAAGAAGGCTGACCTCCTGGAGGACGTGCTGCGCCTATACTTCAGCACCCCGGCCGTGCAGGGGGTCACACTGTGGGGCTTCTGGGACGGCAAGATATGGAAGACAGATGCCGCTCTGGCTAACGGACCAACTGTCACGGTAAGAATGTTGCCATGCGCATCAAGGATAGGAGGATAATATAATTTTTGTGGGAGTGTTTGTACAAACATTTTGAATCGCACCACTCAATCATGGACACTAGCGCAGACGCCAACACACTAAACGCCAAAGGAAACGTTACCCTCCTTCCTTAATGACGGAGGTACCTATCTTCAACTGGCGTTGTGATGCGTGGACGTCCACTTCTTGTTCTGTCTACGGTGACTCCAGTCTGTCTGAAGTCCTGAATAAGTCTTATAACCGTGATACGGTGGCATCCGAGGGCGTTGGCAACAGCATTGTATGTCGACCCCACCTGCACCACCCCAATGGCTTTTTCTCTCTCTTCAGCTGTTAATCGTGGCATATTTCTCGTACTTGTGTATCATATCATCTTTTCTAGGCTCTCTTCATACCCTATAGAATCATTCTACATGTGAAATGGATGCAAATACTGCTTGAATATTGCTGCGTTTTGGCGTTTGATATTGCTATGTGGAAACAGGAAATGGAAAAATGTTACTTTGCAAGCAACAATGTTAACAAAGATCATTGTAGAAGTTCCTAAACATTTTTTCACAATATCAAAGACACGTTTTACTTGTTTTTACTAATGCAAATCAGCAGAAAATGTTTTAAAATACTGAAATCATAGGAATGATTATTTTACAATGTTACACACTCTACAACAGTTGTTTCTTGTTTTAATAATTGAAAAATGGTGATTTTAAATGGTTTATCCTTGTCCCAAAGCAACCTTTCTTTTGGACATCGAAATTACTGTTATTGGTTTATTTCGGCATGGACGGAACTAGGACAATTTAATTCTTCTGAAAAAGATGCATTTCACCTAAATATGAATGCATTTGAGAATTTATTTTCGTGATTAGCATAAAGCTGTGTTGTTAAGCTTTCTTGTAAACTAATACCTTCTACCATATCTTTGATAGTTTTTAAGTAATTCATAAGGGTAGGAGGGTAACGTTTTTTTTGGCGTCTAGTGTATGTGTGCGCACATGAACACACATAGCTACATGTACACCCTCTACCTTCTATCTCTCCGGCGCACATGTGGACACACAGCCATATACATTCCCCATCCCTATACACGCAAACACAACCATTGATACATACGTGCTAGTGACTAGTGCTGGTATTTATGTACAACCTGCGATACGATACCACACGATCCTAAACTTTTAGTCACGACGATATATTGCCAAAGTATTGTGCACTCAAGCTGCGATACAATATGAATCCCGATATAAGGGTAGCGATACGATACGTATCATGATATTAATTCTAACATCAACTATAAAACACCTTAAGATCAAAACAAAAGCAATATTTAAATTTAAGAAACATTAATTTGAAAAAAAGCCACATTAGGCTTTTTTAAAAAAACAAGTACAAAATAAATAAACAATACTGTTATAAACAGAAAACATAGATCAAAAACATCTTTATATCGAAATATACGACAATGTAAAACTTTGTATCGATTCACTGTATCGGCGGCCCATAGATCAATGAATTGATGCGTATCGATGAATCGTCACACCACTACTAGTGACACGCCTTGTTTGAATGATATCTTGTTTGTATATATCAAGTTTTAAATTAATCACCTCCGAACCTAGAATACTTTAACCATGCTACTATGGGTGGACTGTCGACACCGGGTGTCGTATTGGTATTAGGGCATTTAGATTTATATCAAAGGACCTGTCTCAAATAATCAAGCCCAAACTTCAACTATTTGAGGCGTCCGTAAAATCTCTATTTCATCCACCTTGTTCCAAACAGCTTTCCACTTTCGTTCAGGCTTTGTTGAATTTCCGCCCACCCATGTCAAGTTCTCTAGTAAACCTCTAGATAGAAGATGCACAAGCCAAATTAAACGAGACCGTTATCTGTCTGACTTATCCTCACACGGTGTTATATTTTACTTCTAACTGATGACGTGAAAGCCCGCGTACATACGAATGCACGCAAGCACGCACGCGCTCTCAAACACACACTACAGCCACTGGAAACCCATGGACATAGTTTCCATTTGATGAAATTGAGGTATTGTGGTGTACCAGTATGATACAGGTCGTGCATATGTTATGCCCTTCACATGCAAGCCTGACACAACAGCAAAGTAAATACCGATAACTCAGTATTACAAAACACACCAAGAGACTGCGTGGATCACGGGATAGGAAACTGTGTTTGACATGTGTCCTGAAAGGGCTGCGCTCTCTCGCTCAGATCTACAACATTTATCCTTCTGGAAGAGTTCGTTCTTAATTCATTTTCTAATGTAGCAGAGGTACTTTCCTCAGTAATTACACTATGTCAAGGTCATGATGTCTATTCTCGATCATATGTAAACGTATTAAAAGCTTCAGACGTCATGTTAGTACAGACGAAATGTTGTTAAAATCATGCATACATCATTTGTATTATGTGATTTCATAATAAGAAATAAGACCTATACTCCGCCTCTGTGACAAGATCTGGGGAGACTTGGACACTGGTTGGTAAACAGCTAAAACCTTGAGCCCAGCTAACCATAGACGGGAATCCCGATCTCGCTAAGAATCCCAATGGGGTGTCTGCTCTGTTCTTGGCTGACATGAAACCCCTACTTTTTAAATATTATATTTGTGACGCTATTAATCCATTTTAATGATATGTTTTTAAGCTTATCTCCAGAATAAACACATGTGAGCACATAGTATTATATATGTTATAATCACAAATGCTCAATATGTCAAGGTATATAATTCTATTTCCGGTAGAGGTTTCTCTGCGATGTTGTGGCTTTTGGTACTGTTTTCCTTGCTGATAACGAGAACAATTCTATTGGCTCAGCATCCTAAGCATGAAGCCGAATACATAGTAAGTTTTCACAGGATGTAAAAGTAAAACATCATTAATGTACAGATGTTACCTAAGTCTCTTGAGAGAACATCACTGGACGCGTCAATCAGAATTGGCTGTCAAGAAAGTACGTGGAAATCAAATATGGTGGAAAGGGTCCTCTCAAAGGTGTAGCTGAAATGTCCAAAATGTTTTCTTCAAGCACATTTTGCAACTATATCTTCCTGTTGTGTATGTTGTGCAGCCAAACGCAGCTGGACTGAGATGGCAACAGCTGGTGAAGCAGGACTGGCGGACATACGAAACGCATTCCCTGGCAGAGAGAAGAGTCAGGACTCGTGGGTTCAAGGGAAACTACTCTCTTCGAGTCAAGAAGGATGGGACAGTTGTTGAAGAGCAACAGTTCACACTGGGGTCCTGCGGAGCAGACATATCCCTGAACCTATAGCTCGATAGAATTTCCTTTCCACTATAGAAAACATTTGCTCCATAATAGTAAATTTCATGTAATTCTATAATGGCTTTATCCCACTGTTCCAAAGGAAGTTGAATACAATGTAAACAGTTAAGATACGAACTCTGAACATTAAGAGTTCATTTGAAGTTTAGATTATTCATAAAAGCATAATAATAATAATATGAAAAACTCGTCCTCTCAGTTGTGTTATATCGTTTGCCATCCACCCAGGAAGTTAACCTTGTCCCTCGTTAGAAGCGAGTTGTTGTGATGCCATTTATTGTCCAAAACTAGCTTTCTCAAGAGATATCGTTTGAGTGAGATACAGCGATATGACAATAGCACAATAAATTTGCGGAACACTGTGACGTCATCGCACACTATTATTTTGTTTTGTATTTCATAATCGCTCACTATGATATCAGAACAACCCTTTGAGGTCTCTGCCACGAAAGTAGCTGTGATGTTTACACTGTAGGTATACCTTGAGATGATAAATGAATTATCAACAGTGTGTGACATTAAATATATCAACATTTATGATATATTTCATGTTTCATGACACTTGCGTGAGATGAAATGTCTAATGTTTCTTTACGTTATGCAAATTTTCATTGTTCATAGCTATGTTTTTCTATCTACCAAACAACCTTTACACTTTAACTGAATTTTCTTTTATTGTTAGGCTTCACAGAACTCTGAAAGAGAAACGATTCGCGCAAGGTGGAAAACAAAAATATCAGTTTTTGTATGTATTTTCAGTGACTAATCTGAAGTCATCACTGGACCAGAATTATATACGTTTGAATGTTTCTTTTAAAACCGAAACAGATCTTGATAATCTCGAGGCAGAAGACTTAAAGACTACTGTACGGCGTACCAAGAACCTATGATCCCTTGGATTCCCCTATGCACACCGTAAATGGAGACAGTGAGACCCTTGGGATTCCAGGACAGTAACATGCACTCCCACGAGTTTATTTTGAAGTGGTGTCTAAATATCAGAAATATGTTAATGTCGACCATTTCCCCGGCCATCGGTTGTATTTTAGCCATATAACATGGTAACTATAAAACCTGTTTTAATAACGATATCTTTGATATATACATATTTGAAATGTAACGTACATTACTGCCTTTGTAGCACAGTTCTGAAATTGTGAATTTTCAGATAAATACTGCAAATTTCACTTCAACAGACAGAACAAATTAAGATGAGGTAAAAACGACATAAATCGCTTCAAGCAACCTATATTTTCAAATCGGTAAAATCATCTCTCACATCCAAGTTTGATACTAAATCAAACTGCCGTGACTCTCATTCGTAGCACACATTTTACTATCAGACTATGGCTCTATGAATTGTAAAACTCCATACAATCAGTAAGGTTTGACTCAGAAACAAGCAAACACACGATTAACTGAAATCCGTAACAGAAAACACATCTAACACGCTGTGCTTTTCAACAGCCTCCAATTTCAGCATTCTTCGAGATTTGCCTATAGGAACAGGTTCACCTATCTAACACACACATCAGAAGCTGGAAAACATATCGCATTATCACATTTAGAGTACTAAAAAAACTGCTTTTTCTTCTCCAAAAATGGGCGGTTGGGTAGCCGAGTGGTTAAAGCGTTCCCTCGTCACGCCGAAGGCTATGGTTCGATTCCCTACATGGATACAACGCGTTAAGCCCATTTCTGTTGTCCCCGGACGTGATAATACTGGAATATTGCTAAAAGCGGCGTAAAACCCGACTCACTCACTTACTCATTTCTCCAAAAGCATATGTCCGCTACATTATCTTATCCATCTACTTGAAGCACATTTGAAATGTACGTTACCACCTTACGAATTCTCATGTTTTACCCCAAATACATTTATATGCAACATACAAACAATTACGCCAACAACATGTACGATTATGCAAGTATCAGTAGCTATTGAAAGCGATTTCCCAAATTTAAATAGCCAAACAATCAATAGCTTTTAGCAAAATTGTTTTACATTTGAATTCAAGACGTAAAATAATTAACGCATGGATGTATCTGCTTAATCCATTCTTAATACTTGTTAAACGTCATAAGAATTTAAAAATATTAAAGATTATGAAATTTATGTTTACTTTAAATGTCCATGAATAACTGGATATTCTGGTGAAATGTACGTTACCCAGTGTAACGTACATTTCACTATCTGTTTATATACATAGTTCGTCAACCATAGTTCACAATCAGCCACAGCCAAGATGCAGAAGTAAATTGACCCTAGGGGAATGGATTGTATGAACAAAACTATTTCTATGTTTCCCTTACATTCTATGACACAAAGAAACATATTGATACCAAAGTTTCAATCACCATTTAATTCATATTTTGAGCGATACTGAAGATATTAATTCGTAGATCTGCCGCCTCAGGACTCTATGACACGTGGTGGGTTAAAATAGTGACGTGTGCAAAAGCCGTATTGAGCTGAACAACGTCGGAATAAGAAAATCCGATTGTACTGGCATCGTACATTTCAGTAACGTACATTTCTTTCTATCAACAATTTCCCAATATCTGTTCAAACTTGTTAAGAATTAAACAAAACATGTTGATATCGTGATGAGATCGTTAATGTTTATAATTATCATGCAATATAAATTTGGATATGTTTTGTTATCCCCCGCCGCGCGTTTAGCGCGAAGCGGGGGATATAGTATTAGGCTCCGTCAGTCCGTCCGTCCGTACGTCCGTACGTACGAATTGGAATATCTTAAGAACCGTTGACTGGGTTCTTTTCATATTTGGTACCTAGGTTAATCACAGTAAAAGGAAGATGCCAGTCAGGTTTGGTGACCTTGACCTTCATTTCAAGGTCACAAGGGGACTTCAACGTTTTACCTGCACGTTAAGCTATCTCAAGAACCATTCACTGGATTTTCTTCATATTCAGTACCAAGCTTTATCTAGGGAAGGTGCAGGGCCCAGTCGTTTTGGTGACCTTCACATAATTTTCAAGGTCATGGCGACACTTTGAAGATTTCAGCATGTTAACCTGAATTGTCAGCAATATATTTTAAGAACGGTTCACTGGATTTTCTTCATAGACTTTCAAGACCTCCCTTGAATGTTTTTCAATAAGCAATTTCTTTAGTACTATTTTTGCATATTTCATACACTATGACATTCATGTCAAGGTCAAAGTAAGTCTTGAAAATATGTGTGTGTTTGAACAACTAAAGAGCAAGATATCAAGAGAGGTTGACTGGTGATGTTTTTGTTGACATTTAACTTCATCTTAAACTTTCATTACTTTATAAGTTTGATTTGATAATTTGCAGCGGGGGATTATGTCACCTTAGTGACAATGCTTGTTTACTTTGATATTATTATAGTCATTTACATTACATCCTTAACCATACGCATTTGACAAGCCTTGTTCAAACAGGGACACAGTAGAAACATGCAAACCTTTTGGATCCGTCAGACTTCTTTTCACATCTCTTTCTCATGGCTATCTCAACACAGATGTGTCATACTCGCATATACCTTATACAGTACCCCAAATCCTTTAATAAACTAAAAAAAGCTGACACAAATTTTCGTAAATTACACACTGGCGACAGACACTTTAGACTTGACAGTAAAGTTATTTATCGTCCTTTTCAGTTTATTTGATAGGTAAATGAAACGTCTATCATTGCAAAGAACCAGAGTCTTTTTACCGGGTTATCCGTAATGAAAATTACAAACTGATTGTCCTTTAAGGTGTGAACAGTATTTGCGTCGACAGTCACGTGCATTTCAAAATTAACAATCAATTGGATATATTTCATTTATTCCCGACATGTGGCAGACACGTGCGGTTTAAATCTTTAGTAGGGGTTTCGTCATGTTCCACAATGCACAAGAATCAACTAAAAAGAAAACACAGAGCGCGGCGACACAAATGCGCCCTTTTATTGAGAATGTGTGTTCAACGATATGAAGACCTGTCAACAAAAGACAGTAAAATAAGTAGGATATCACAGCCTTGGAGATCTGCTGCACATTTGATATCTGCATGATCCCTAGCTGGATGCCCAGGCAGAAGTACAACAGTGGATTTACTTCGTGGGAGTCCCGACCTAAATCCTGCGCCAAAAGCAGCAGCCTTACTTCATCATGAGTAAATGGGTCTAAATGATAGCATGGGTGAGTGAGTGCGGACTCAACATTTTGGACACGCGATGTGTCTGTGTCTGTTGTGGGAACCTCCAAAGCAACGGTGACTGTCGTGTACCAGGGTGATGACACGCGATGTGTCTGTTCAGTACTGGGGAACCTCCAAAGCAACGATGACTATCGTGTACCAGGGTGATGACACGCGATGTGTCTGTTCAGTACGGGGGAACCTCCAAAGCAACGGTGACTGTCGTGTACCAGGGTGATGACACACGATGTGTCTGTTCAGTACGGGGGAACCTCCAAAGCAACGGTGACTGTCGTGTACCAGGGTGATGACACGCGATGTGTCTGTTCAGTACGGGGGATCCTCCAAAGCAACGGTGACTGTCGTGTACCAGGGTGATGACACGCGATGTGTCTGTTCAGTACGGGGGAACCTCCAAAGCAACGGTGACTGTCGTGTACCAGGGTGATGACACGCGAGGGCGAGTATGGATGCTATCAAATCATGATCAGGATGAATTTGGTATTTCATTTAATTCCGGTATGCGTAAGGGTCGCAATCTTGCATAGAAATTGCGGATGCTGTGAAGACTGGATAACTTGTGCTGATATTCATGACATCAGTTCAGGAATAAGATATTACTCATTAAAAAGCAACTCATACACTGTATAAAATTTTGTACAGCGCCTCTGGCAACAAGTGTGGTCTAAGTCCCTAAAACCTACCTAGAGTAAACAGCAGACATAGGTTCAATGTTAAACTTCAGGGCACCAACAGCTACACTGTTCATGAGTGGTTTAATCTCATAATCTCATATGAAATTCTGACACAAGGAACGTTGACAAATGAAGCATACATGAATGCCGATCAAACAATTACAAAGAACGTTTGTTGAGATTGTTTGAGTGGTTACTGTTGAGTTGTTACTGATGATAGCCACGTGAAATATACAGTTCTGTGCATTTAATCAGTTCCGCAATATTTCGGTGCTGTTAATATATGATGTTATTTCTAGTTACTAGTTAACGACTAAGATAATGTTAAGTCACAGTTTGATGTTACTCCATGTTCATACCTGTTAGGTATTGGCAGCATTGATTCCAGGACTACTGCAACAGACATCAATGCATGTTTTAACAAGCAAAACTGTTTTCCTGGTAGATATATCTACTTATAACCAGTGTGTTCTATCAGTATTCTAAATTGTGAAAGGATATTACCGATGAAAATAATGTTGATTATTATTGGTAATAAAGTATCCTGAATATGAATGATCTCTTCTGTACGGCTTTACTCACTTAGATTTTAAATATTTCCAAATAATACTCCACCTGACATCGAAAGGTCTTTGGTCCAGAGGGTCATGTCCGCATGTCACGTGACAAGATAGAGATCTTCCAAGTGTTAGTGACCAAGAACATTCTTGAACTGAATAGCTGTTCAGTTTAGTGGGAAAGGACCTATGTTATTTGTCTAGGCAACCATGAACCATTAACAGTTGTTGCCCACTGTGATCCATTCATTATACACGTCTTAAGAGGAATACCTGAATGTTTCATTACAGTGTCTGTAATATAGTGAAACCCACCGCAATATTCCACAAGCATTACTCATGGTTATTATTAATGCGTTTCAAAATGACATATTCTGATCAGGGGGATCACTGTTGCCTCTTCTACGTCCCACCTGCAACTGAACTAAACAGCATATGTTCAATCACAAAAATATTTCAATACAATCGATGTAATGGCTACAGATGAGTAATCACTGAGAGCTGGTGGCTTGGGTTTCCTTACTCTAAAATTTATTTTGCGGCTTTTCTCGACGTGAGATTTGCATGACAGCGTTTACACAAATACATCCACATGGCGTACAGCTGATTCTGTGTGTAGCCATGGCATCATACAGCGTTTGACGAGGTTTGTGATGAAAGTTCGAGCCAGGACTATCCATTTCACTAACGTTGACGTTTATGTGATATCACCTGTCAGATCAACTGAAACTTGAAGACGATATGGTCGAGGCACCACCATGGCAAACACTGCATGGCGGTAATCAGGTTGCAAAACAAACAGTCCATACACTATCTTCATAATATACCTCCGGGAAACAGTGAACACATGGCTTTTCATCAAGTTGTAATAGCAAAGGATCCTCAAAACGTCTTAGGATATTTCTTTGTATCTATCTGTCTGTATGTATGTCCATGGTGTAAGTATAGAGTGTAAAGGAAGTATAACTATAACGTTTTAGACAATGTGACAGAGACTAATACAGGTTCGTTACAGCCCTTCCTAATCCGGATACATGGTACATGCATTCAAATGAGACAATTTACATTTTCTTATTTACTGAGAGTAGACTTTGAGTAATGGACATGAGATGTTGCTAACTACCTTAATTCGTCACAAACTATCTGACAAGAGATAGGCTAAGTTTATCACCCAGGGGCTAACACATATCAATGCATACATAAATATACACGAATCTGTCATTCGCACAATGCACATACATCACTTTTCAGTGACATTATAGGCATATAATACGAAATGTCTAAACCTTCAAAATGTAATATATTTCACAGTGGATATTCACTTGATCCATCTTATGAGTACTATGTTTTGACGTTAAGCAAGTCATGTGGGTCTAACTATGGTTTGTCGTCGTGAATACTTAAGTGGTAACAAAGACTACATTTTTAGTTGCCAATATCTCCGTTCAGTTTACGATGTAAATGAAATACATGTTGTATGATGAAATGGATAAAAAATCAACAGAAAAAAACAGTGTATGGGTATTTTGATAAAACCTTAAGGTATCTCCCTTCAGCCCTCATCTCTTTGTCTCTTTGTGAAGCGATTTGATGACTTTCCAAAGGAACGCGCATTGTGTTGCAATTTTATAGAAACAAATATCGTTATCGCATTACGCGAATTATGTGCTAATGATGTTTCGTCCTCAGGTTAAAATCTTAACTCCTCTGTTGGTAGTCGTGGTATGCTTATGTTGCTCCAGGCGAGCCTTTAAGCAATGTTCCAGAAAGCACTGTCGAGCTCTCCCGCATCTGGTCATGTGATTGGCGGCGCATGGTGGTGTTACAGACACTAACATCGACAAGAGGCTGTCTTCATGTCTTCCGACATCAGGGATGTCTCATGCTTCTTCAGGGTAATGCAAAGGAAAAGTAACTCTTCTATGCTAATGCAAACATGCCACGTCCAAATCAAAGCTTGAAGTGCATTACGAGTTATGTGTAGTATATAAGTACAGTTTCCTCTTAATTTGTGGTGTTCTTCAACTTTCCCGAAATAGTGTGCACCAATAACAACATACTCTTCAAATCACTGACAATTTAAGCGCGTGTCTCAATAAACATTTTGACACGAAATTGTAGTCGAATTATCTCCATAATCTGTTATCTAAGGTGTAACCATATGCTTGCTCTACATATATTAAATCTACAGATTAGCAGGCATGATGTGGAAGGCGGTGTGTGTGCTATTTGGCGCGCCTATGGTCTTGGGCATAACAGAACTGCTACAAAATTCGGATTTTGAGTTGAACGAGTTCCGGCCGGAGGATGGGGCTTGGTATGCTAATGGATGTACCGCTGACTGGGAGTCGGAGAGCTATACTGGAAACCATAGCGTTAAGGTCACAAAAAGGTTAGCAAAGACTTTTATAGGCTATATATTTGGCTCCGATCAACGCAAATTTTATTTTGTTACACATTTAGCATGTAAGTACAAATAACGTCGAATTAAGGAAATCAGTTTAAATACGGTGTGGTTTTCATACCTAAAGGCCATGGGAGTGACGTTCCAAGACAAGCGCGTGTTGCTTGCAGCAGTATCTCAGCTGACAATGTCACGCAGTTGTGACAACGTTATTCTGTGGACTCTCATTTACGTTGTCAAAACGTTGTGGCCTGACGTTGTGTTATGCCATATTTACGTCGCCACAAGGTTAGAGTTATGTTATGCTAAAGTATTTTACGTTGTCTTTAACGTTAATAGTTGATTAATTTTCCCAGTAGTGAACAGTACATGAGAAACAAAGCAGAAATTCACTTCAATGTTTATTCGTCAATTTGCATGTTGTTTTGGTCGTGTGTTTTCTGAAGCTGTAGCTGAATAGTGAAGAAAGAATCTCAAAGTGAAAAGTTTTACAGAAAACTCTAGCGTGACAAATTATAAGAAACGTTCTTATAACGTTGTGAGGAGCCCAAAGCATAACGTTTCCTCAACGTACATTTGCAATGTTGATATTACGTCGTGAAATGACGTTATAAAATGAAGTAATACTAGCGTTGTGACAACGTTGTGTCATGACGTTACCAATCTACAACCTCCCCACAACGTTACGAAAACGTTGTGTTTTAGCTGGGACTTTAATCAGAACAATGTTGAGGTGTTGCCCTGACCTGTACAATGATAAGAATCATAGGTGTTGAGCTGTCCTATCGTCCTTGAGTTTCCCTATCGTCCTTGATGCCGTGCTCGCATACGGGTCACCAGAGTCTCTGGTAAAAGCAACAGACGGAATTGAACTCGAAGTAATATCGTCATTCTCGGCAGGGAGCTCAAAACGAACTTTCAAGTATTGTACCGAACACGTTAGTCTGGCAATGGTCAAAGGGTCAACAGTGAAACCTACACCAAACGTACTGAACAAATAAAATACGAACAACCCTAAACATGTCTGATTTGGAATTTGTCGGTAAAAATAACAATATACGTAAATCAAGTACGCTATTTAACTATAATAAAATAATCATTATTAATTTGCACTAACGTGGCATGTCTGGACTGACTGCTAGGAAGGTCAGTTTATTCCACACATACATTACTCTAAGGATGCCATGCTGATAAAAATATCATGCAATTTTTGCATCGGGCAATACATGCTGAAAAAGAATTTTAAAAATGAAAGCAGTCGGTGATGATATATGCATATTGTGTTCTTTTGTCAGAGAGAATTTTTGTCAGATATCCTTTCACAGTGATTGTGGAGTTCCCTGTGAAATAAATAACTATGAGCTACGAACACAGCACGTGGAAGCAGGACTGTCCTCTGTCCGTGAAAACTCAACATAAGTGTTGTCATTACGCCAGTTTTATCTGTTAGAATAATCGTGCCAAGAACACAATGTTTGCAATGTGTCCATCATGTTTTAGTCGGTATCACAGTCTTGTTGATGAACATACGTTTTTTAATGATATTATATCAGTACGGCAGTTAGATGTTAGATTCTTTTAAGGCTAATATTCCTTTCCTGTTTCTTTAAGTCAAGACAATATAAAAGTACATTTCATTAACTTACTTAAGCTCTTACGGCACATAGATGTTGATTGGAATTCATGTTATCCCAGTCCCGGATACATGTATATAATTAAATACAAATGAATTGTTTTCATCGATAATCATTTGAATGAATGAATGGATTTAAACTAGAGGACAAATGTGTTAAAATTAAACGTAGTTTGCATGAAACATAACATAGTCGAGAAATGATTCCCAATGTTCACTTCAAAAGTTGCATATCATTTCTACTCAGTCTTACGAAGTGCAGAATACAGATAAAAACACCCCTTATCATCACTCTGGAACATGCCACGCCTCGGGGAAACAGACAGATGGTGAGCGACAGGTATACTTTATTGTTGTTGTACCTCGCAGCGTGACGTTGCACGTCGATTCAACGTCTACAGAGACAGCATCAGGCACTAATGGCGACGTTTTCAACAAAACAATGACATTTTAGAACGTCCGTGACTGAGGGGAACTTGAACGCTGTGAAGTACTGACACGGAATTTTGCAAATGGCCGTTTTATCGTTTTGCAACAAAAAGTCCCTGGTGTGACTTTTCAACACAACCGCACGACCGCACGTATGGACAACAGTATTTTAATCAGAACGATGTTGGTGTTACCCTGACCCGCGACATCTAATTTGGCACCCATTGATTACCTCTGGGTTGAAATGTAGAGACGTTTTACGACGTTATCTGAATCCTCCAGCAAGAACCCCGCCAAATCTTTCTCCGGATATGGAATGATCTTCCACAGGGACGTTCAGTGTCCTCAATAAGGCGACGGTGCCAGGCCATCAACAAACATGCTTGTGAAACCCCTCTTGTTCACTTGTATATGCCAGGTGGGCTGTTCTTATGGCCTGTCACCATATGATAACACTGATTCTGTTTGTTCTTTGTGTGTAGAACAAAGCCTTTAGTATGTAGTTCATATCAGTAGACATATCCAGACAATATAAATAGATTTCATTACATTATATTTTGTTTTGATTTATAATCGTTTAAAGTTGCACCCATATCATGCATTTCTACTCATATCGACACCTGATACACTAGAAACCAGGTGGTAAAATGGCCTACATTGAGATGTGGAGAATTGAAACACTATAAATAAAAGCAATGTTTTCTAAAACAGGATGATCTGTGTGTATAATGCGTGTGCAGGAACAGCTTACCTGTTGTTATGTTGTGTAGAGGTTAGAATAACGAGGAAAGATGAGGGATATTTGGTGTGTATTTACCTGCATGGCGAGTAGTGCAGGCATCTTGTAATGATAGATCTAGAAAATGAGCAATGCTATTATGTAAGACTGCGAATTATAAGGATGTTGTGACTGTTGTCTCCAGTTCAAACGTGTTTGTAAGTTCACAACGTCAGCGGGGCTTCCATGATCCCGTGTCGCATCCTCTCATCCCCAGGCGTTTATACTACCAGTATTAACTTATGCTGATACTTATGTCGTGATACTACTGTCGTTGTCTTTTCAAGTCCTTGATGATTTGTTTTATATGTCGAAACATCGCAACACCAAATTACCTTACAAGCAGTAGCTTGGATTCTTCTTCCCTACAATGTGAAACTTATTGTGACATTGTTTTTATCACAACTTTACTTAAACGTTGATATGAACAAAAACAATGTAATGAACAGAATTAGGATTTTGAAAATACAAACAAACTAAACCAAAAAAATATCCCAAAACATTCCCAGAGGGAGCAAATGGGGAGGCATGGCGTACGACGTGACACTGTCTGGCAGCAAAAACTACTACTTCAAAGCTTTGATCAAACTTCTCAACACACACCCTGGCAGTCTCTTCGCTAACGTCCAAGTCATGATGGCCGTGTACGGATCTTCAGGTATGTTCCTCTTAATGTTCACAGAATGTTGTGAACACGTGTTGCACTGAGACATGGCGGGCAACAACCATGGGATGGAGGATGAATGGGTGGTTGGATGGGTGGATGAATAGATGGAAACAAAGACAGATAAGTAGGTAAATAAATACCTCACACGTACTATCTCATAACAGCGGCGTCCTGATATCTTTGAAGTATTGGATCACATGTTTAAGTAAATGATTTGATTTATAAACTTACAAAACTGTATGAATGTATCTTCTTGGTGAAGTTAAGTTTAAGGTTAAACCCATACCACATGATATATGTAAATATGGACTATGCATGTCGACATGTGTCTCTGCAGGGTCGCCGAAATACACCATGCTGAGTGAAGTGCGCTTCATGGAACCACTGATGTGGCAGGTGATTGGCGGGGACTTCTCCACACCAGCAGGTTAACGTTTCCTTCAATGCTGTTGCTAGTGTTCAAAGTAAATACATGAAAGAATATACCGGTATATGACACACGAGACCAAAGTAAAATATGTTATGGTACTGTTATAAACAAGGTGATCAATATTTGTGTTGACGTTTCTCCTCAGATGTAAAGAAGGTTCACCTGTATGTCCAGATACTGGACACAGACGTGAACTACCTACTGGACACATCCACACTGCACGAGATCCCTACCATCCCCACCAACTGGAGATCACAGGCAGACCTCGCCATTGAGAAATACAGGAAAGCTGACCTCAATATCAGGTACAAATTTTATTGAAATTCCAGCAGCATTGGGATCGACTGGTGTGATCGTTTAGCAGAATCTCTGTACTAACAGGATGATAGCTGTTTTTCCTGGATGGTCAGATACACCAATGTGATGATAAAGATGTTATTGTGAAGAATGCGTCGTAGAAAGTAACCACACTATATGTGTCCTGTTGTAGCGTGAATAGTGTTTCAGTTCACTGGTTAATATCAAATTTGATAGTTGTTAAAGTACTAGTAAAACATCGACAACGGCTTTCCTTTCCAGAGCTTTGGGATCAGCTGATGCTCTAAAAGACCTGACAGTCGAGGTAACATTTAGAAATGCGCCAATGCAGAGTTAAGGAATATGGGCGTTCCTATAAGCATGAAAATGGTTTCTCGTTCAGTGTGATTCAGGAGTTTCGGTATTTTGTAGAAGTCAAACAAGATGATTCTGAAATACCTCCTTCACTAAGACTGACATTAAAACAATTGCATAATTTGAATGTACCATACTATTGTTATGTCATTAAGTAACAAAACAGAGCACAACACAAACTTTGGTCTATGAATGTTTATCTTGTTCATCATAGTGCGGATGTAAAGATCTTCTTATGTTCGTCTCTAAAATATGTTGCATTGTCAGCAACATGCAATCGTGGATCTGTCGCCGCAATAAAATTAGAAGGGTCGGTAGAGCGATGAGAAACACACAAAATAGAAATGCTGCTCTAATGTCTACACTGTCATGATGACTGTTTCTTTATGGTTTCACAGGTCAACCAAGAGAAACACGAATTTGGTTTTGGGTCAGCTGTAAGTGCCGCCATGATAGTGGACAGTCAGCACAAAGCTTATCAAAATTTCTTCTATGATAATTTTGAGTGGGGTGTCATCGAGAACAAGCTGAAGTGGAAGCAAATGGAGTGGTCTGAGGTATGAAATATCCAAAATGGCTTCATATATCAAGCCATCGTTTTATGTAGCCGAAACCAAGTCGTCCTTACTAACGTTCAGTAAACGGATGGTAGTAAAGTATGTTCCGTGTATTTTATTACAGGGGCATGTTGACTATGACACAGCCCTCAACGCCATCGACGCCATGCTAAAACACGGGTGAGTTCAGTCCCACTTTGTCGTTGAAAGAAGTCGCTTTCTTAACACAAATTTAGCTGTGTCCCAATGTATAGACCATTGGTATAACTAATTGTGAAATTTATTATTCTTGGCAATGAAAAGCAGGCTTGACTTGAGTCTTGGATAACTGTACTGTCCTAGTGGTTAAAACGTTTGCCCGTCACGCCGAAGACCCAGCTTCGATTCCCTACATCGGTACAATGTGTGAAGCCCATTTCTAGTGTCTCCCGCCGTGATATTGCTCGAATATTGCTAAAAGCGGCGTAAAATCATGCTCACTAAATCTCACTCACTCACTCAGGTGACAACCTAATAATGTTTTAAACTTTACTCGAAAAATGTTATCGTCGTATCGTCAAGGCATATTCAGTGGTGTGAACGTCTTATCTTTATGTGGCGTCATGAAATGTGGCCGATTCTCAAGCATATTCTTTGTACCTCACCTCAAAACGTTTTCGAGCTTACAATGAAGCAAAAACTAACTAACGGAGTATAACAGAGAATGTGAGATCTGTAAAACATCATCACCTTTACTGCACACATAGTGTTACATTTTACTATTACTGTGTCGAGAGTTGAACATGGCGTCTCCGTTTCAGGATCCAAATCCGAGCTCATAACGTGTTTTGGGGAGTGGACAGGAACATACCAAAATGGCAGCAAGGGATGACTGGCCAGACGCTGTGGAAGCAGATGGAGAGGCGGATCCAGGGCGTCATTCCCCGGACAAAGGGAAAGTGAGGTTTGATGTTATGGATTAGAGTGACGGGATTGTGTTGCAAGTGTACATAAAGCAAGGAAATTTGATTTTAAGCATATACTTTTATATTGGGGTTAGTTTGTCTATAAGAATCACATACAGCTGCCATTACATTACTTGCCTTCCTGAATGTGTCATTGCGGATAAGATGTTATAAATCCAGTCACACTTGCGCCCCCCTTTATAATCACCATAGTAAGGACACGTGTGTAGTGCTGACGAAATATGTACCAGCAGCGACAGTAATGACTAAATGTACATGTGTCATGTTATCTGCATCTGTTATTGAATCCTTGAATCATTAATTTCATTTCTGGGCTGTAGTCTAATATTTCCACATGTAAGCATTTCATTCCTCACAACCGTTTCATTAAAAGTACAGTTCATGGAATCAACATTTTCATAAGAACATCTAGACATCTCTCCTGAAGAGGTTGAAAGTCTGTAGATGACGATGAAGATGAAGGTTCATGGACCGGCTCGATACTTCTCAATGTACTGAAAGAAGTGATAAGCGTTAGTCGTACTTTGCTCAGATAAACTTTTCGTTTATTTTGGCTGAGATTACTGCATATGTGAAAATGTTTTCCTCGCAGTCCATCGACCTCGGGGAATAGAATGTAACACGATTGCTGGACACAAACCTGGACTGGTGATGTGTTAAAAAGATAAACAACTTACAGTACAGATAAGAAAGTTTAAGAACTAGAACAATATATATTCGAATGCAGATAAGAAAGCTTCTGTGTGTAGATCTAGATGCGGAAATTATAAACTGGGTAGTGAAAAAACACACAGGGAGTGGTGAGAAATCGACTCAAATGACTCGGCGTGTCCTGTTTTGTGGCATGTTTATGATTTCTGTAGCCACATGTCAGGAAGGAAAACTGATGTTTATATGATGTATGTTCATGCTTCTAACGCGTAACCTAGGCCAGAGGTTAAAAAACACAAAACAGAATTGACTTGAATTAATAGATATGGAAATAATTGAAAATATATAGGTCCATACTAAAAGCTTCATGTCAGTGGCTTCTGCTAATGTATGTCCACAAAGAGATCTAATCGTCAGAAGTACTCCACGTCTACGAGGACAAACGTCAGTGCCCTAAGATCACCTCGTTGTTTTGTTCAGGGTAGAGCACTGGGACGTCAACAATGAGAACGTGCACGGTCACTTCTACGAAATTGGAACAGGAGATGCCAACGCCACCATGTGGATGTTCAGGGAGATACACAAGCTTGATCCCAATGTCAAACTCTTCCTCAATGACTTCAGTGTGGTGAAGGACAGGTATTCAACACAGGTATTCATGACCATTCAACGTACTCGAGAAAACATAGCCTTTACTTTTCACAGGTGATGATCCGGGTTAGAATTGGTCTTGAACGATCAATTGGTCTTCAAAGATCAACTGGATCGAGCGGTCAGGCTCGCGGATGTGGTTGACACATGTCATCGTATCCCAATTGCGTAGATCGATGCTCAGGCTGTTGATCACTTGATTGTCTGGTCCAGACTCGATTATTTACAGACCGCAGCCATTTAGATGGAATATTGCTGAGTGCGGCGTTAAGAAACATATAAACAAAATCTTTACTTTCAAACATAAAGTTGTCAAGGATTCCTATATGGTTGACGGTTTATTATATGTATTTTCCTTCAGGCCTTCTATGATCAGGCGATGATGTTCAAGAATACACCCAATGTCCCTCTCTACGGACTCGGCATACAGAGTCATCTCTTCCCGCCAATAGACATGTCAGTTCTAAAGGTAAAAGTGAAGGACACGTTCTCCCAAGATCACCGATTTAACTCCGTCATTTACTTAGTAATATATTGACTCAGTAATACAGTATTATTTTGTTCATCATATGAGTTTTGCCTGTGCACGTGGTGTTACAGTTCGGTCATTGCTGACCAAGACAGAGCAAATAGATGAAGCTTGTCAGTAGCAGGTAATTCAACTGAAACCTGATACTAGTATGAGTTTAGCACCCATTTAGATTAGGAGTTATCAAAGACAACAGAGGCTGATCCCTGACACAGTATACAGTATAGTGTATATGATTATGAAGACATTGTACCTCCTTACTGTTGCTTACTTCGCCAACGTTTGCGGGGGTCCAAACTTGACAGTATCTCCATCTCTAGCACAATCTCCATCAATCTGCGACAAATCAGATTGTCTTTCAGTGGGAACAAGCAGTTGATTTTCAGTTTCTTTGCTCGTTTGGTTTTTGAGAAGATGTTTACGAAGGACAACGTATTTCATTCAGGTTGTCAATGAGCTGAATCAGTTAATGGAAAGTTTGATATTGTACGATGTTAGAAATAGTTGTCTTGTTACGATTTCTGGTAACATCACTTGAACATAATTTTACGTTATACTCACAATTCAGGTGGCACGCAATGTGAAACGAGCGTGGCAGAAAAACTCCACACAAATTGCCAAAGTTATGTCTTTTTAATGTATTTTTAGGTTCGTCACACGTCGTTGGGAATGTTTCCTAATATAACAAAGGAAGATAAATGTTGTTCTCCACTTTCAAATTTGACTTCAAAAGCTTTTCATCATTATTTTCAGTGATCTTATATTCCAGGATACATACCTAACGTACAGGTGTGGTGCTGTTTCAGTATCGCCTTGACCAGATACTGGCAACAGGGCTGCCTATTTGGATAACAGAGCTGGATATCAGCGAGCCAGTGGAAGACCGCAAGGCAGATCTTTACGAGGACGTTCTGCGACTGTACTTCAGCACTCCACAGATACATGGCATCATGTTCTGGGGATTCTGGGATGGCAGACACTCCAAACCTGTTGCTGCTCTTGCATCGGGGCAGAGTGTAACTGTAAGATTCTTCTCGTCGTTCGGCAACTGGTACCATGTATGCTTTACAATCCCTTAGTTACCTTGTGTTAATGATTTGTAAATTATGGTAAAAAGTAAATTTGATGACAAAACATAACAACGTAGCATTTAATTCTCAGATATAAGAACGAAGGAATCAGTGAATTTAGTGTGTCGCCGCAGCCAGCAATCCCGTTCAAGAGGATTTTCGAAATTTGAACCTTTAGCAAACAAATCGGCGGCTAATATAATGAACAATATTCTACGCTGTTGGGGTACGCTGACGCGATATTAAGCACGTCAACGAGTCTTATGACCTGATTCAGCTGAGTCACCACTTACATGTAATAATGCTGAGGACCTAATCTAACCTGGATTATAAAGCAGTAATCTATATGCTAACTCAGCACACCGCTTGTCTAGAAAGACCAGGGGTACCGATCTGTATGAAAGGTAAATGTATCTGGACATTGACTAACCCTATATGTTGGAGTTGCAGGTATTCAGGTCTATAACCTCAATAGCTATTTATAAAGCGTCTGTTTCCACACACTTGCATGCTCACAGCACTAACACATTTCTACCCCGGATAACCAAAGCTGCCTGTGAGGCGCTAGAAAGTTATTAATCATGACTTATCTCACCGGGTATATATTTTCTGCTGGACGGACAGAGGCAATTTTGAACTCACTTGCCTATGGTGAGACCACATGTATCGCATGTGCTTCCTTGTGGGGCAGACTGACTTCCAAGAAACTCTCCGGAGTCACGCTGCCACACATGGTCACCCATCCAAGAACTCTCCGCCCTCAGCGTTGCTTAACTTCAACTGATTTGTGACCTGAGCTCTCTGCACAGGACCATACACCTATACATGCCAGTTTGTTAGTTGATCAGTTACGAATTCAAACAGCTGTTGAGGAGTGAGTATTAACAATATGTTTGTGTGATCAGAATACGACCACGTAGCGGCTGATACCTTCGATGGAAAAACTTATTTGTTTAAGCTATAGTAATGGAAGATATTTTGCTTGGCATGGCCAAGTACTAAAACATGTTTGCTATCTACATACCAGCCGAACGCTGCAGGACGGAGGTGGCAGAAACTGTTCAAACAAGACTGGAGGACTGTGGACCAAGTGCGCCCTCTGTCCACTGGACAAGCGACAATCAGGGGGTTCAAGGGACGCTACTCTTTGACACTAAAGAGACATGGCGTTACGCTACACAATGAGGAAGTTATACTAGGAACTGGAGGAACCAATCTCACGATTTCCATGGCAGGACTAGGTAAGTTGGCGGTGGTTGCGTGGTCTTACAATAAACCAACAAAGCCATACAATATCCATGTTAGAATTAAATGTTGTCTTTTTCAAACTTTGCCATCTTTACCTATTTTCTTCAAACTTTCGTCTTTCTAAAATATCAAGTCTATGTGTAAGTTGAATAAAAGGTAAAGGTTATTTAGCATTTATATTCAGACGTATGATGAATGCGATCGGTTTCAAAAGACTTCAATCGTTTTCAGCAAAGTGCATACATACGTTTAGGACACTAAAGATAACACGATCAATGACAATGGAATGTTGTCTATTGTGATTCATTACATGTGTGACGGACTTACAATCTATCACACATGGCACAGTGTTGCTTTGATCACCCCGGATACGATGAACAAAATGCTATTGATGATCATTCTGTGGACTACATATATAAAATTACTTCGCATCATCCCACTTCTGTTCGCTTTCAGGTGACACACTTCATGTGTCGAACATTCTCGTGGGCTGATACCACCAGGAACGTGCACAGCAACACTATTTCCTCCAGTTTAATTCACGTGTACGTATCACATCAAATAAACATGCAATGTAACGTTTGAGTATCATATTTAATCCAAGCTGTAGATAACTACATGTTCTGACAGATCGTGTGGTGTGCTTGATGAATCAACATCATTAGTAGAAACACACTAAATTATTGTTTTTTGGATTGTAAGTACTTTAGGAGCCTGGCATAAAGTCCACTCATTCCTCTATCGTTGGCTTGTCTACCTCCCCATATGGCTCGACGCTGCCCTGATGATTGGGTATCGTCGTTGTAGTCCTCGCTGCCACCGGAACCACCCTTGCGGTTTCTGTAGTAGTCATCCCGAACTTGACGTAATCGTGAAAACGCACGGTGTCTGTACTGAGAATAGTCCTCTTGGGAGTCATCATCGTCAGTGTCCACTGTGTTAAATGTCCTCCTTGTGGACGGTTTGGGTGTACCTCGATCCCACAGCGGCGTCCTTCTCCAGGAGTTTCTGCTGTATGAAGGGTAGTCGTCATCGTCAGTGTCCACTGTGTTAAATGTCCTCCTTGTGGACGGTTTGGGTGTACCTCGATCCCACAGCGGCGTCCTTCTCCAGGAGTTTCTACTGTATGAAGGGTAGTCGTCATCGTCAGTGTCCACTGTGTTAAATGTCCTCCTTGTGGACGGTTTGGGTGTACCTCGATCCCACAGCGGCGTCCTTCTCCAGGAGCTTCTTCTGTGTGAAGGGTAGTCGTCATCGACGCCGTCGTCGTCGTCGTCCGGGTAATCTGATCTGGACAACCGTAAACGTTGCAGCTGCAAAAGACGGCTCCTTGAGGGTGAATTACTTCCCCATCCCAAACTGACGTCGGGCCACACCACCAGCATCAGCAGCACGGCGCTCTGCAAACAAACATATGCCATGACAGAAAATGCACAATATTCATATAACTATCTTCATATCATGAGATAATATCAAGCTGAATTATAACACAAAATGTCCCTTCCCCTTGGTACGTACATTGTGTATTAATTCTAACGAATATTCGTCGACAAATGTACCATCGACGTACTTAAACAAGCAAGGGTCTTGTTTGCAATCAACATCGATGTAATGGGCACATTCATTTCAGTTAAAAGCGTGTATCAATGTCTTTTAGAAATGACAACGTCACTTGCAGCTTGTAATATAAATAAACATAAAACATTATTCCCGCAAATTAAGGTGAGTAATGTTGGTCACTTACGTGACAGCAGCAAGGAGATGTAACATAATGATATTCACGCACACTTAGTTTCTCAAATCAACATGGTTCTAAATTAAATCGCAATTACACTGAAACACTTTACGATACACAGTGTGACTCTTGCTAAGTAACAAGTGACTGAAAGGTTATGTGCAGTTATAACAAAGTGAATGAGGATTGAAACTGAGTGTTAATGCCTTCAGAACTCACTACCACATTCCAATTTCTTATTTTTCTGCCAGTTATTTGAAAAGTAGTGTTTTCACTGAAAGTGTATAGATTATGTAATCTTCAAATGACATTTATGAACAGTGTGATGGATATGTTTACACAAATCAGTGAACATAATTTATTATTTTCCAAAACCAACCAATGATCAAATTTATATCGAAATACGTCTAGTGTAGATTCAATCTATAAAATCAAGTAAACGTATAATTCATCGTATACACAACAAAACTAATGAACTTCCTTTAAAGTGTCTCAGTTCACAATTAAATTGTTAATAAATACATTTGTGGAATATATTAGTTAAACACATCCTACTGTGGAGGAAGAAGGACTCACCAGGAGTACTGGAGTGGATACCGCCGACATCGCCCACAGCCCTAGAGATCAAGAGCAAACAAATTTCGACGGCAGTATCCTTCTCATTTATCTTTTATAGTGACACAGCGGCAAGGCAATCATCTGTGCGGAACCCGGCTTGACAAGTGTATGATTGCTTCGTCTTAAATATTAAAGATGACAACATGTCACAATCTTATGACTCTACTTTTAACTGTCATTCAAAGCCTTGTCAAACCATAAATGAGTATACATTAGTTATTGTTTGTCATTTGTTTTAATTGGACAGTCAATAAACAATTCGTGGTGTGAAGACACACATACACCATCACCTCTATCACCTCTATTCTCGATTTCCATCATGCATACACCATCACCTCTGACACTGGAACATTCTCGATTCCCATCATACGTACTACAGCATCACCTCCAAGATTAAAACATTCTCGATTCCCATCATGCATACACCATCACCCCATCATTGAAACATTCTCGATTCGCATCATGCATTCACCATCACCACTATCATTGAAATATTCTCGATTCCCATCATGCATTCACCATCACCTCTATCATTGAAACATTCTCGATTCCCATCATGCATACACCATCACCTCTATCACTGAAATATTCTCGATTCCAATCATGCATACACCATCACATCTATCATTGAAGGGGCGGTGGGGTAGCCTAATGGTTAAAGCGTTGGCTCGTCACGCCGAATACCCAGGTTCGAATCCCCAATTGGGTACAATGTGTGAAGCCCATTTCTGGTGTCCCCTGCCGTGATGTTGCTGGAATATTGCAAAAAGTGTCGTAAAACCGACCTCAGTCAGTCAGTCAGTCAGTCAGTCAGTCTATCATTGAAACATTCTCGATTCCCATCATGCACACACCATCACCTCTATCATTGAAACATTCTCGATTCCCATCATGCATACACCATCACCCCTATCATTGAAACATTCTCGTTTCCCATCATGCGTACACCATCACCTCTATCAGCTGAAACATTCTCGATTCCCATCATGCATACACCATCACCTCTATCATTGAAACATTCTCGATTCCCATCATGCATACACCATCACCTCTATCACTGAAACATTCTCGATTCCCATCATGCATACACCATCACCCCTATCATTGAAACATTCTCGTTTCCCATCATGCATACACCATCACCTCTATCGCTGAAACATTCTCGATTCCCATCATGCATACACCATCACCTCTATCATTGAAACATTCTCGATTCCCATCATGCATACACCCTCACCTCTATCACTGAAACATTCTCGATTCCCATCATGCATACACCATCACCCGTATCATTGAAACATTCTCGATTCCAATCATGCATACACCATCACATCTATCATTGAAGGGGCGGTGGGGTAGCCTAATGGTTAAAGCGTTGGCTCGTCACGCCGAATACCCAGGTTCAAATCCCCACATGGGCACAATGTGTGAAGCCCATTTCTGGTGTCCCCCGCCGTGATGTTGCTGGAATATTGCTAAAACGCGTCGTAAAACCGACCTCAGTCAGTCAGTCAGTCAGCCTATCATTGAAACATTCTCGATTCCCATCATGCATACACCATCACCTCTATCATTAAAATATTCTCGATTCCCATCATGCATACACCATCACCTCTATCACTGAACCATACAAAATATTGTGATAATATATAGTTTCCTGTATGTTATTTCAGTCTTGTCCAAGTCTAGTCGTTAATTGTTACAAATGTAACATAATATGTTAATTGTTACACCTGGAGGGATATTATATGTTCATGTTCATGAGCAGACAAAATGTGAGTAGTCATATTGGGAGTAATCATAATGGGAAGATACCAAATCCTGCAGGAGTCCATGCAGATGTCTTAATACCCCCTATGGTCAAGGTTAAGGGTTTTTATGGTTACGCATCAGTTTATTTTAAGCCGTTATTATGTCAGGGTTTTATATTATACAAATGTATTCATTTTAACTAAACTCTTAATAAAGAGAAACGCTCAGGCCAAAAATAAGGAAATGTATTAAACGTATTTAACTGTACATAAGTCGATTAAGCTTGAACATAGATGAACGAAATTCGACATGGATGAACATATGTATTATATTGTTGTCATTGGCAGCATTAATTCAGTTTACTCACTACACATGTGTGGACACAAGGGGGCGTTCAGGTCACTACCTGGTGACACCACCCATTGCAGCCGTCATTGTTCGACATCGCATTGAAAGGGATTGCACAAGTTGTCAAATGTTTGCTTGGGGAATTCTTCGCCATTCCTCCTGCAACGCGTTGGCAAGTCCTTGAGGATGGTAGTGGTGGACTTTGTTCAAAATGTCTTGCAACAGCAGACTGGGACTTCCATGGTTCCAAACGTCCAATGGCGATATTTCGGTCAGTAGTATCAATCTTGGCATTTCTTTTATCTTCGTTTACATCATAATTTCGTAATGAAATGATGAATTTGGTTTACCCTTTTATAGTCGATGTCTTTACTCATGTTTCCGACACACTGCACGTGCATTATGTGGAAACGTTTTTCTGCATGTATTTTTCATAATTCATTTTGGGATGCGCAATACACAACAACCACGACATGATAATCGGGATTCATACATAGGATTTGCCTTAATGACGATTGCCGTCAAAATATATCGAAATGAACTTCTGAAAACGCCTGTGCGTTTCTTTTTTGAAGTGCGCATATAGCTCATATAGCCACGATATGGCCGAAAGACTGTTGATAAGACTTTAAAATCTAATTCACTCACTGACAACATTTACCATAACCTGTTATCATCAGCGCTTTCACTGAAGGTATCGTTAACATTAACATTATCCCACCAGAAAACTTAACATCAGCCCCATTACCGACACAGTGACCGTAGTTTCCAATCAGGAGATCTACCTTCACCCCAGGCACTTATACTATATATACGTCATTATCTCCAACCGGAGATGTGTCGTACAAAACTTGAATGAAAGTAAATAACTGCATCAAAGAGGGTTCGGTTGATTCTTACACATTTATCACCATTAGCTCAGTACCCTGTACACACAACCGAGACAGCGAATGAGAATTTTTCGAACCCATCAAAAACGTTTCGGAGAATGCAAACACTCCTTAATTCTTCATCCTCCTGTATTTCAGAAGTGTCAGAAAGGTTGCGGTCCTGGCAACAAACCCGGTAACTTTAAAAATGTGAGTCAACATAATTGGGTGGGGCCAATTCTAAGAAACCGAGAAACCGACGGACATCCCTGTGACTACATTCCGTAAGCGAGGTCCACATAATTGCCACGTGTTTCCTGAATGTTTTCAATGACAATAGTGTCAAAACCTACAGAAAATGCAGAGACATTATTGGCTCTGTTGGATTTCTAACAACAGAAACGTTTATTGGCCTGGATGCGTCTGAGGTTGCTTATGTATCTTTCTCAATTACTTTTATGCATTAATTTTCCATGACGCTCTCTGTATATTCTTGGTCGTACCAGGGATTGAAATCAAAATCATAAAGGATAAAGCCAGTCCGTCGTTAGACTAAGGCTTAGTCTCTGAAAATTTATAATTTTGATAGTAACAAACAAGCCCATTTATATTGAAAAGGAGCCCTAGGGGAGATCAGAGATTCAGAGACTAAGAACATCTGCATTGGGGCTACACGTGCTGGGGTCATTACCAATTAGAAGCCACATCATACAACCATCAGATAACGCTATAAGTGAAAGGCATATTTATTGGCCCTCCTGTTAAGCCCTGTCCTATCTCCATGCTGTCATCACCTCATGTGGGCCGGTCAAGTGCCCCTACTGCCTAACATTTTACTGTTGGGAAACTTGCAGCCCACAATGTCACTTGGACACTAGATGACCAAAGTGCAAGATCTGTGTGGAACACCAACAAAATTATACAGTTTCCATTTGTATATATGCGAAGAGGATATAGATAACCACCTTTTTTTTAAACAAACTGTTCACTGGGGCCAGCGTCTGTCTTACGCTTTAAGATGTTCTGGGTATTTCTAGATACTACATCATCCTCACTAGATTTCACCTTGCATGCATCAATCACATCACGAAGGTAAACAGATTTAATTCCGAGATGCTGTGCCTTTTGAATTTGGTTCTTCATGAGAAGGCGACTAACGGGGTCGGGTGGTCAGGCTTGCTGACTAGGTTGACACATGTCATCGTATCCCAATTTAGATGCTCATGCTGTTGACCACTGGATTGTCTGGTCCAGACTCCACTTGTTTACAGACCGCCGCCATATGTGGAATATTACTGAATGCGGTGTAAACCCAAACTCACTCACTCACTCACTCTTCATGCTAGGTCCCTCCCATATGTTTTACTGTTGAGCAATTAGATAAAAGAGATACTCAAAACACACCAAAGTTTCAAACAATAATCCTATATCAGGAATAAGAAAAATAACCCTTGTTTTAATTACAATTAAATCCTTAACTGCATTAACAATTGGGCTGCTATGTATGGACCCAAGTCAGACAATGAAACAATTCTTTTACAAGATAACATTCAGGAGGAACCTTTCCCCAAGATTTTGCTTGATTTGTCTCTTAAGACTAGAAACTGTACACAAGGCCTCCACTATAGCTTCATGTCACCCAATGTGCTTGTTAATTAAGAGCTGACAGATGGAAATGTGAGGCAAGATTGGTAAGGATGTTGGTCCGGCCAGCCATGGTAGTTAGATATGTTTACTTTGTAATCCGACCCCCAAAGTGAGTTAGTTTTCTTGCAGATGTTAACAGACCCTGAACCTGAGGAAATCTAGACTTGCTTTATTTAGGGCTTTAGCACTGCAGCGATGGCTTGGCAGTAGGGAAATTAATGTGGTTCAGGGACTGTGAGACAGACTAGTCCGTCGTGTACAAGTGCTGGGTATCCACTGACGATGAAGTCAGTGCAGTGGTCATTAAAGAAGATTTAAAACCCATTTAAATTGAAAAGGAGCCCAGGGAGACCAGAACCTTGAGAAATCTAGACTTGCTTCATTTAGGGCTTTAGCAATGCAGGGAGGGCTAGACACTAGGGAAAATAATATGGTTCAGGGACTGTGAGACAGACTAAAGAAGATTTAATATTGCTGTTCGCTTCGTTGACACTATTTTGCCATGCACACAATGTGATGAAAAAGGTCTTTTTAGGAGTCTTGAAGAAAGAACTTGCAGCACTCGTTGACATCAGCTGACGACAATTCCAGGCTAGGTAGACTTGGCCGTAGTCTGAATCCTAGAACACCTAGCTGAGCTTATGGAGGATGTGCAAGAGAGATGCACTACACCTCACCAGGTTCAGACACTGACTCTGGTCTATGGAAGTATTGTAAGTCTCTGACATGATGCTGAGAAAGAGGTTTGGTACACTGAGTGAGGGTAGTTGGACATCCATTGCACCTACTGCACGGGACATGCAAGGAAATGCCGCATGAAAAAATATAATGGGTATCATATTTATGCCTTATTGCCTATAAAAAACTGTAAGATTGAAACTGACTATTCTATAAAGTAGAGCTTAAAATCAAACTTGGAATGATGACAGTCAAAAGCACCTGAATGAATTCAGTTTAATTCAGTGTATCATTATCGAGGTCACAAGAACCCTACTACATACTTCTACAGTTGCACAAACATCAGGATATTGGAGTAAATACACTCCAGTTGGTGTTCCCATTTTAGCCAAATCTATGTCCATGATTTAATGGATTGTCTGGTGCAGATTCGATAAATCACAGACAACCATCATATAGAAAATTATGGAGCCAAACAACAAACAAATAGAACAAATTATTCTGAAGTCAGTGAGCCTTCAATGAGTTATAGATATCATACTGCAGCTTAGGCGGATCGGGGGTCAGGGTGCGCACCCCCATTCCCCGTTTGTGCTGAAAGTTTGTTAAATGTAATTGAAACTCGGGTGAAAATGAATTGTG